TGCTATTATATAAAGTCTCTGGAAAGTTTCTAGACACAGAACCGCTGCAGAGCTGCAGTATTGGGGAAGAACTTTACACAAAAAGCCGCTAGCTAAACGCCGCTAGCTAAACACCGCTAGCCCAGGACCACTGGTCTGAACCATGGATCTATAATAACAACTGGATAGGGTATTACTAGCTTACAGCTGTCCCACCCATGGGCACAGGGGGCGCCCGTGGTACAGCAGACTAAATTCAAGAGGGCTACCCAGAATAAAGTCCCATAGAACTCAATGTGAATTAAAACAGCACGACCTCAGCTGACAGAGAGCCTAAAGCTTTCATAAAGATCGGATTTTGTGGGGATTTTAGTGTCTCTTGCCATCCTGAACTTTTTTTCTTCTTAAATCCTTCGGTTCTCTTTAAATCCACACTTTACTGCCACAAACGTTGCTCCTTGCCTTCCCGCTCTGGCTCCGCTCTTCTGCTGTTCTGATCAGCCGCTCTGATTGGTCAGAGCGCGGCCGAGCCCCTCTGTGCGCGTGCATGAAAGCCACACACGCACTTTTGGCGCGACGCATCATGGGAGTTCATCCACTGCGCAGAACCGGGAGGACCAGACAATGCCCAAATATAGGCGAGTTCTGCTAATCTCCCGGTCTCCATGAAGTCCCATGCGCTGCTGAGCACAAGCCATTCATTTGAATAGGGCGCCATCTTGGATCACCGGGGCTTGGTCTGAACACCCCAAGCCTCTGTAATTTAGAGAATACACGTCTACTGCACGGTCTGAACGCCCCATAAGACGGCACTCGTGTACTACTGCTACCACGCGCTGCCATCTTTGTTTTGAGTATGACGAATCAACGAGCATATTTTGTATCAACGTATTTTTTGCCTCGACATCATCGACTACGTCGGTGCGTTGTCCCAGCCCTAGTATATGTATGTATGTATGTATGTATATATATATGTATATATATATATATATATTTCTCTCACTCGCCTGCTCACTTGCTTACTCGCTCGCTCGCTCACTCACTCACTTAACCAAGTACACATCAACTAACATTGCTTGTTCTGTCCATAATGGTTATGTCATTATTGAATTGTGAGATTTTCATTCAAACCCTTCTGATATTCATAGTGGCTTCAGTCTGGGTTTCTTTATAACCTAATAAACTATTTATTCCGATACAACTAATGATTGTGCGGTTCATAAAAGGCCTTTCTCTTTTGAGGACATGCTGAGCTCATGTGCTGTTCGCTGTTGGTGCATTTTGCTGCCTGCATGATTCTCCTCCTCCCTCTCGATCGCAGAGTCTGTTCTGATCTCCTGTCACAGAGGATTAAGATCACAGACTCGGAGCCACAGCCAGAAATTTAACTTTAAAAACTCAAAACATCCTTTGGACTTTGTTGCTCTTTTTTAAATACCCCTCTTCTATTGTGTGTTTCTCACTTTAAAGACAATCTCCAACTTTGACTAAAATCAGGACTTGGATTTTATGGTAGTATTAAATTTGAGTTTTTTCAAGGCATTTTGTTTGTATAGCGCAGTTCATACACAAGGCAACTCAAAGTACTTTACAAAACAAGATCTAAACAATCTCACAAGACATAAATAATCAATGTACATTAAAAAGAGTAAAGCACTGTTTTTTATCTGGATCTGAACATTGCCAGAGACGAAGCCTGTCTCACATTTTCGAGGAGACTTCTAGATTTTAGCTGCATAAATCTCAGATGCTGCCTCCCCATGTTTAGTTCTGACTCTGGGACCAGCAGGAGGCCAGTCCCTGTGCTCCTCAGAGTCTGAGTTGGTTCATATGGCACAAACATGTCAGATGTACTTTGGTGTGATGTCATGGAGAGACTTGTAACAAGCAGACCTGCTTTAAAGTCTATTCTCTGAGCCACGGAAAGGCGAGACCTGAGAACTGGACTAATGTGATAGTACTTCCTGGTTCTAGCTGCAGCGTTTTGAATCTACTGCGGCTGTTTTACAACTCGTTCAGTTGTGTCGCTAGGCTAACTTGATTTCTACATTCATACCAATAATTTCCCTTCCGTCAAGTTTTCTTGTCACTCAAAAAGCTTTTTTCTTTTGTCAAATCACAATTAAAGTCAGAGCACAAAGGACCTGTGACTAGACGCACAATCGTGTGACAAAGCCATAACTGGTGACATTTTCCAGCCCCATTCTGACTCACGCTGATCTTCTTTCCAGTCGTTTGGAGCCAAATTCTCGTCCTATTCTTTCCCTCCTCTTGAATGAATCATTTTGGTTTGGCGAAGATCAATCACACACGGATGCATTATTAAAACTCAGCAAGCAGAATACGGCGAGCTCAAGTACGAGGCGCTGTACGAAGGGAATGTCCTCGCTGTGTGAAGTGTTTGTAAAAGGTCAGGGGGAGATCTTGGAGGAGATTGCCCGTGTCAGGTGGCTGGTGTGCTCCATGAAGTAGGAGATACAGGCTGGAATTTGAATGGTTTTGATTAGGGCTGGGCGATATGGCTGAACACTATATCACAATATAAGTAATTCATATCGGTCGATAACGATATATATTGATTGTTTTTTTTTTTTTTTTTTAAACGTAAATAAATACATTTGTCGTGTCGGCTAACACATGTTAGCAGCCTTGTTTACAGTCACGGGGGAATGAGGCTGGAGCCAAATGTTCACAAGCAGTCTCCCCCACTTTAGTCCTGGTTTAATCCTCGTTTAGTCCTGGTTTAGCACCTGTTTTCGAGTGTCCTGTGTCCCCGTGGCGGCTCCGGAAAGTAAATCTCTTGTTTTTGCCGAATGCATCGAGTCTCTGCCTCTCCCGCGCCGCACATGCTGTTCCTTGCATGGACGTGTTTAACCATTGACACGGCACTGAGACACGATCTTTAGATCCATGATCCATGGACGCTACGCATGGTGCGGTTTCATTCCCAGAAAGTTTTGCGCTTTGTAGTCGGCTGTGATAGGTCGAGAAGTCTCTGCCTATATCCCCCAGAATGCCGCGCGCTTCTGACTCGGCTTTACTTCCTGTGTTTCGTTCCTGTTTTTTCGAACGGAGTGAAGTTAAACTATCGAAAGTTCTATCGACCCCGTTCTCTATTGATATCGAACATGTGTCTATCGTGATATATATCGTTATCGTTTTATCGCCCAGCCCTAGTTTTGATCATTCACCATAATGTTCCAGCAAAGAAATGAATTAAAATGTCTGTCTAATGTCTTTCTAACCTTTCTGCCGAGCTAACGAGGATTCTTCTTTCGGTCTGAAATCTGAACATGTTATGAATACAGCATAGTTATCTCTTCAGTATTCATTACATAGATTAATTTTACTTGAGAGAGTTATAAAATACCTTTTCACCAATTAGTAAGATTTTCACTCTCAGTTCTGGCGAAAGCTGAGCTAATCAGGTCCAGGACTGTGGTGTCGTTTAGTTTCCAATCTTGTGTTTTTGTACAGAAGAGGGAATAGATAGATGGATAGAATATAAGTGATATCATAATATTATTTTTCAGTTAGGTACATTTCTCCTGTTAAATTGGTGAAAATACATTGTTAGGCAGTAGGCTTTGTGGTAGATCATTCATATGAGTGCGTTCAAATCAAATTGTTTTCATCTGAAACTTTGGAATTGCCTCATGTCGGAGTTCCACTATCTCCGGCCGCCTAAATGATATTGAAATGTAGTAGATTTGAATAAAAAGCCATACCTTCAGGAGAATGCCACATCCTGTCAGATCTCTGAAGCTAAGCAGGACAAGCCTGGATAGTACTGTGATGGGAGACCTGTGGGAACACCAGGGTGCGGCTGTGGCTGTGAAGTGGTTGTGTTCTTAGGCAAGACACTTTACCCACATTAGAATGAGTCTAGTGTGTGTGTGTGTGAATGGTTGATGGTGGTGGGAGGGGCCGACGGCACGTACTGGTTGCTTCGGTTCTGTCAGTGTTTGCCCCTGGGCAGCTGTGGCTACAATAGTAGTTTATCGCGTGAAGCTTCTATCAGTGTTGCCAAAAATCCATTGCATTAAGAAACCGTGACATACAGCCCAGTGGTAGAATCCTCAGCTGTGATGGTTCTCAACCAGCTGCATCAACATCTGCAGATGGTCCCTGGGCACTGCACTCCACTGGCTACTGCTCCTGACAGAGGACAAAGAAAGGGAGAACTACTTGTACAGTACCTTATCATTGGCATATTCTCTAGTAGATGTTGCGCTTATACAATTAGTGAAATAAACATTTTCTCAAGTTGATTTTTTTTTTTTTTAAGTACGTATGTTTTATTACATGAATATACAACACTGAGCCGTAGCAGAAAGTAACTGCTCCATCTACACACCGAGGTATGTGAAGGGCTGCAGTGAAAAGAGAAATGTAATCATGCAAAGAGAGACAAGCGAGAGGCTGCAGTTGTTTAGAATTAAAGCCAACGTGTGGGAGTCAGGTCCTGTGGAAAGCCCGCTATAAAAGATTGATGTGTAGAGGTTGGATTGAGTGGCGCCACAGGGGAGAGAAGAACAGAGGGGGAAAAGAAAATTAAGCAAGGGACTTTCATTAGTGAGTACAGCAGTGATTGAGTGCTACAAGGATCGTAAAGAAAAGACTAGTGGTGAGAATTAGAAAGAAGCAGATAATGTTGGTTTACACAAGGACACAGAGGGGCAGCTATTATCGATTGACTTGAAGAAGTGATAACATACAGAATACTAGGAGGATAGTTTCGTTTTTTTTCTTTTTAAAGCAAGAATAAACCAATACAAGAGTTCAGGGTCACAAACACACAAATGAACAAGCATGGGTCTATGTATTTTCATGCTCAGATTTGCCTACATTTGTCTAAGATGGTGTAAGTAATGAGTACTTCTCCTGAGCAACACTGATGCCCATTACAGCTTTTCAAGAGAAAATCTATGGGTTCAACAAATAAACAATAAACACCTGTGATTTATAGTTAAATGTTTCCCAGTTATATAACATACTGCGTTTTCCCTTTTGCTTTTCAGGACATCTCGAGCTTCCTCAGTTCTGCTGTCTGACCCCTGCTTCCAGCTCCACTCCATCCAGCATCTCTTGGGGGAGGGAGTGGAGTCATCCTCAGCCACTGCCTCAGCCTCAGCCTCCGCAGTGGCCGCGGTGGTGCTCCCGGTCGTGGGCTCCTTGGGCACATCTGTCTCCCCTCCTGTGGCTGCAGCAGCTGGCTCAGAACGAAAGCACTTTTCTCTTCATGCTTGTGAGTAGCATTATATCTCTGTTAATGACGCTTGAATTTGTCATCAAGTGATTTGAGTGAGATCTTCATTCAGCCAGTGAGGTGCTCATTAGAGCTGCAACTAACGGTTATTTTGTAATCGATTAATCTATCGATTATTTTGTAATCGATTAATCTATCGATTATTTTTACGATTAATCGAGTAATCGCTTGGCTGTGAAATGTGTAGAAAAAAATTATTTTTTCATCACAAAAAGCTAAAGTGCAACACTCGAGGACGTATTGATGGCATAAACTTAAAGTAAATGTTTGTAACAGGCTCTTTGTGCTAATTCTGCTATCTGATTGGATGAGACAGACAGATATTCATGAAATTATAAAAACAAAGTCGGTTTTAATCAAGAATACTACATTTTCATGTCATTTTTGCTCTGTTTGAGTCCGTGTGAACCAGAAAACGATTAATCGATTACTAAAATAGTTGTTGACTATTTCAATAATCGATTAGTTGTCGATTAATCGATTAGTCTCTAACAATAAAATAGATACATACTGTACTATACAAACACTATACATACTATATTCCACAATAACATTTTTTCACACATTAACTCTTTCAGTGCCAATGACGCATATTACGTCAATTCAAGATCTATGCTTGTGTGCCATTGACGCATTTTATGCAATTGACGTGTTTTGGTGTATTCAGATCCAGACGCATCCATTCTATCATATATCTCTGATCGGGACTGTTTGACAGTATTTTATTCGGCCAGCAGATGTCAGTAGCCTCCTTTAGCTCTTCGATCAGGCATAAAAGGAACCGGAAGCCCAGATCTCATTGTGGGAGTAGGTTGGTTAGAGTGAGCACAAGAGAGTAATCGGGAGAGCGAAGATGAGCAGAAAGCGGCAGCTAACGATGGAGGAGGCGTTTGGTGCTGGTGGTACCATCAGAAGGTCGGTGGGTGATGGCCATGAGGAAGGTGGAGGTGATCTGCCTCGGCCTTCAGTTGGCAAAAAGCCTGAGGCTACGGCTAAAGCTAAGTCTAAACATCTGGCCGTTGGCGGGAGTCCTTGCCGCGCACGTCGCTCCAGAGCCGCCGCACGCAGTTCCAGTGGTCCACGTCGGTCCAGAGAAAGTTCCTCGTCGGATACAGGCTCTTCAGAGCTATGGGAACCTGAAGCTGACCCAAACAGCAGTGACTCATCCCCCGATTCCCCCAGAGCAACCGGCAGAGCAGGTAATGCATACATTATACATATGCATTTAGCAATGAAATAAAAGTATTCTTGTATAATTCTCATGATTGTATTTGTGTGTATTTCTAGTAAGCAGAGTGCTGGGCCAATCCAGGAGTACTAATGCTGGTAAAAGGAGGCCTACAGGTAAATAAAATACTCATATATGTATGTATATATGCATGTGTGTGTATATGTATGTGTATAATATGTATGTAGTGTGTAGTGTGTGTGTGCGTGTGTCTCTGTGCGTGTGTCTCTGTGCATGTGTGTCTGTGTGTCTTTGGATATGTGCGTCTGTAGATGTATATGTATTTGGATATGTGTGTATATGGATAGATGAGTTATTGTACAATTCTATACAGGCGCTACATTGAGCAGAGGCGCTGCCAGCGTGAGTGCTGCAAATACAGGTGTGAAGAAAAGAGGTAGGAATATCTTTCTCTACATCACATCAAATCAATAAAACGAGCTCTATTTGATTCCTATTTATTGTATACATTTCCATAATTTATTACAGTTGCAAAGGGTAAAGGCGGCACCTGGCGGAAATCCGGATGGAAACCCACTGTGTTCCCCTTCACTGCAACGCCTGGTCCCCTGAACGCGGCAGCAGAGCTGGAGTCCACCTCGCCTGCTGACTTCCTGGAGCTGTTCCTCACGGACGAGCTGCTCCAGCACATCACAGAGCAGACCAACCTCTATGCTCAACAGCATTTCCTGGCAAACCCAGAGATTCCGCAACACAGCAGAAAGCATGCATGGAGACCAGTGACCATTCCAGAGATAAAAAAGTTCTTTGCATTATCTTTCCTCACTGGTGTTATCCACAAGCCAACCCTGGCAATGTATTGGAATGTGGATGAGATGTTTGTGACCCCGTTCTTCACTAAAATAATGTCCAGGAACCGGTTCCAACTCATATGGAGGTTCCTCCATTACAATGACAACTCTGCAATTGATGTAACTGACAGGTTATACAAGGTTCGCCCAGTCTACGACTACCTGATCAATAAATTCAAGGTAATGTTCCAACCCGGGCAGAATATTTGCATAGATGAGGGGATGTTGCTCTGGAGAGGACGGCTGGCCTTCAAGGTCTACAACCCACAGAAGCCCATAAAGTATGGAATAAAGTCCTATGTGCTCTGCGACTCTGCCACCGGCTACTGCTTTAACCTGCAGCCCTATGTTGGTGACCCCCGCACGATCCCTGACATTGTTTTTTCTCTCCTTGACCGTCTCCCAGGTGCCGGCCACACTCTGTTTATGGACAACTATTACAATTCTGTGGCATTGTCTGAGCAGTTGATGGCAGTAAAAACAAATGTGTGTGGGACGCTAAGGAAGAACCGGGGAGAGCCTGAGAGCATTAGGGACGTGACCAAGACTGAGCTGAGTGTGGGGGGGAGAGTCGCGGTGAACAATGGGAAGGTCATGGTTCTGGCGTGGCGGGACAAACGGATTGTCAAGATGTTGACAACATGTCACCATGACAATATGACGAGTGTCGACGTTTGGCAGCGAGGACAGAGGGAGAAGGTGTCTGTCCTAAAACCGGAGTGTGTCGATGCCTATAACTCCTCCATGAATGGCGTGGATCGATTGGATCAGAACATAAAATATTACCCGTTCGTCCGGAAGTCTCTCAACTGGACCAAAAAATTTGTAGCTTACCTGTTCCAAATCGCAATGTACAATGCCTACACTCTCTACAGAGCCAGGAACGGGAACCGGGAATACAAAACCCTCTTGGAATTCATGCAGGGGGTCATGAGGTCCTGGACATTGAAGGTCCAGGATGAGGACGAGGAGGACATCGAGGACGAGGAGGACGAGGAGGACGAGGAGGACATCGAGGACATTGAGGACAAGGAGGACGAGGAGGACCACAACGAGGAGAACGAGTCGATCGTTGCATGTGTGGAGGAAGGAGCACCACGAAACCCCAGGGCTCCATATAACACTGATCCAGAGAGCAGGCTCGATGAGGGTGCCAGGCACAAAGTGGAGTACCTGCTGTCCTCCGGCTCGAAGACCAGACCCTCGAGGAGATGCAGGGTCTGCATGCGCAAAGGCCTGCGCAGTGAGACCAGGATGTGGTGCAAGGCATGTGGTGTCCCCTTACACAAAGGAGAGTGCTTCACAAAATATCATACACAACAAGATTACACTATATAGACAGAGACACATGCACGCACACATGCACGCACACATGCACGCACACATGCACGCTTTGCACGCACACACGCACACTCTCAGCCAATCAGCACTTTATGTATATAGTTATTTGTTTGTAATTTATGTTTGTACATTTCTTATTCTGTGTTGAGTATTATTCTGTGTTCTGAGTATTATTTTGCTATCAAAAGCACTTTATTTTGAGTCATTTCCCTTATTTTATACATGGGAAGAATGTTCTGTTGTGTGAGAAATGACTAAAGTAAAAAAAAACTTTTCAAAGTCACTTTTCTGCATTGTTTGCTTATTTTCACAAACACCTCATTTTCTCAGCTTTATGTCGGAAACTGATGATTTCTGTGAAAAGTTTACCTTACTCCAATGGTGATTACAGAAGAACTAAAGCCGATAGAAACACACTTATTTTTTCTGAGTAAACTAGAGGGTTCAATCTTTCAGAATATGGTCTCAGATTTAAGCTAGTCATAGCAGAACATATTCTATGGGTCTTTAAAAGTCGGTGAAAATCAGCAAAACGGCTGGCACTGGAGGAGTGATGTTCTGAAAATGTCTGGCACTGAAAGAGTTAATAGCAGTAGAACATTCATGGTTTAAGAATTTATCTTAAAAAGTATTTGCAAGTCTGAGCGTTTGTATGTAAAGTCAAGTTGCCAAAGTTTCTCGCCTGGATCAAAGCCCGGAATATTCCTAATGTGATTTGGACTGCACTTTACTTCTGTTAATGTCTGTAGTGGCATTTGTTTTGGCTCTCTGCTCGTCCATACAGCACTTTCCTGAATTGCATATTCTCTGTAGGCTTTAACCATGGATGTATTTGATTTTGGCCATATTAAAATAATTTTCCCTGAACTCAGATGTCACTGATAATATACACGTAAAGCAGATAAAAGCATAATATGTCTTGGAGCTTTCTTTAAGTCTCAAGTTAGTGCTTTTGTTTGACCAAAATAGTTTTGCCCACAATGAACCGCAGCTGATCTTTTTGTTGAGATATTTAGAGAAAGTGCTTCAAGGCTTCAAGAGACAGAGCAGTGATGTGAGGAGAAAGTGTCAAAAATGTTGATCAAGCGGAAAAATGAGACGCCTGAAGATCCAAAGAAGGAAAGAAGACACTAAGGGGAGACGACAGAAACAAAGACAATTCAGTTTGAATGTAATATGAATGCAGTATAAAACAACATACAGGCCAAAACATATGCTTGTAAAAGAGAGCCCTGTGATAGTCACTATGTTACGCTTTGGGCCATACTGTATTTGTTCTAGTCAAATGGCCAGTTCCTCTACTCTGGGTTATAATACATAATTAATAATAATCTGTTTCATGAAAAGATCTAAAAGAACGGCCATTTGGGTGGGATAATATTGGATTTTACCCCAGCCCTATATCATCGTATTTCCTAATTGCGACTATTTTGTTTACATTTTTGTGTCCTGACTAAGTCCTGATTTGAAACCAGTATAACAGTAGTCTCTCAGTTTTGTACAGGTTTTAATGATAATGATGTTTTATATAACCCTTTTTTGACACTCAGACGCTTCACATGTCATTTTTAATTCACTCCAAACACAGTGGTTATAAA